AAAAAATAAAAAAATCAATGTATTGCAATCTTTTTTAAAAATGGGGTGGGAATAGTTAAAGAAAACTATTTTATGTAAGAACTGACAGAGGGATTTGCTTTGTATAATGCAAGCTGGCTTTAAAAAAGCATTGTAGCAAATTATTCAAGTCAATCATATGTTAATAGTTATGTGCAACCAGACATGCAAAACAATTGTATTTTTTTAAATAAATATTTTTAACAAAGTTTCTGATCTTTTGACTGGTTTTTTCAGTAGAGGAAATTGAAAGTTACAGCTGCAGGGCAGCTTGCTCTGTGATAATGAGGGAGTTCATCAGACCTTGAGCTAACCTGTCCGTTCACAGCAGCACGGCCTCCCTCACATCTTGCTTGAACGGAGGGGGAGTTGCTGTCGGTAGCTTTGTAGTGCTGCACGGTCTATTCTCTTCTGGTGAAAATTTCCCTTGGTGAGTAGCTCCACAGCGCTGATAGCAAAGCGGAGGTTTGAATTGTCAGGTACACTTTTAACAAAAGAAATGTTATTCTGGCAATAGCATTTAGCTGCGTATTGTCAGTCTGCAAGGACATGATGAGATACTTTTTTTTTTTTCCCTCTTTTTAAGAGCTGACAGTCCCTGGTGTGATGTATATACGTAATCTGAGTAGGCTTCTTTCGAAATAAACTCCCTCATTGTATTGTTTCACACTCATTTCCTCTGTACAGGGATGGAGAGAATGCTGTCATGGTGGGAGGGGCTCCATTAAATGACGGATTGGGTTTTTTTGCTGCAAATGGGGTTTGCAGCACACTGCTTTTTTCTTTCTGGGTATCTCAAGGAGAGTAACAGTGGCATCCTGCGGTGCTAGAGGAGAACTACAGCACATACTGCACGGGACGTGAGGCAGGAGAGCTCCTGAAGTCCAGGGATGAGTTAAGCCCAGGATTCAACTGCACTTACCTCCTTCCTGCATTGGCCTGATGTGCCCTCAATTCAACAAGTCTACTCTTTTGGGGAGTTTTTTCTATGGAACCACCTGTGGGAACTTATGAAGATATTTTATGGAAGGTAAGACAGATCTACTGCTTGGAAAAATAGAAATGCTAAAAACAATTTAACTTAAACTGCCGTCAGATTCAGTCTGAGCTTGAAAGCCAGAACTGGTGAAGGTAGTAGCTGATAGTCTTGGCCAGAAACAGCTTAAGTTACCCGAGTCCAGTCATGCTGAGAATCTAGCAATCGATCACCTTTAATTAAACACTGCTTTATATACACACGTACATATGTACATCCACATACAGCAGTTAAAGCAAAAAGTAAGTGTCCAATCACTCACTGAAGAAATAGATGTATGTAGCTTTACATTCTTCTAAAGCCAGTCCTTTCTTCGTAGCTTGTACTAGGTCATGCGTGGGTTATAAGAGTACCTTACAGAAGGCACCTGTTATAATAAGTATTGCACAGATTAAGCAGCTGGAGGCTGGCTCCCAAATACCTCTGTTTAAGCTTCAACTGGAAGCTAGAAATAAAACCACCCTAAAAGACACTGCAACTGTAGCAGCTAAACTAGTGACTTAAAGCAAAACAAACCATCACAACTCATTCTTGACTAAAAAAAAAAAGCTAATAATCAAGAGGCCCTAGCATGCTGAATAAGACACTGTCTTAGTGAACATGTCTGATACTGTGTGATACACAAGAATCAACTGTGCAAATACAGATAGGTCCCGCTACCACTGTGCACTTGGTGGGGTCTACCAATTGTGTAATTTTTCCCCTTTGGAAGTATACGTGGAGGTGACGTACACGTGAGTCAGCGTTGCACAAAAATGAATTCAAATCCAGTATCGTGCTGTAAATTGTAGGGGCTTCTATACTTTACAGGCCAAAAGAAAAATCTGTTAAGTTCAATGACTAAGCCAGGAGACAGTCAGTCTTACATATGGAACAGAGAGAACTTCTTCCTTCCCACCCTCCACCCTGAATTGGGAAGAAAGTTCATTTGCAGGAGTAACTGTTCTCCCATCATCCCTGCCACACACCGTAGCCTTCCGGATACAGGGGCAGTCTGACGCTTAAGAGTCGTCTTTTTGGTACATGTGGCGTGGGCAACTTGTGCTTGGCTTGACGCAGTGTTTTAGGATGTTTTCTTGATTCTGACTTACCCAATCTAATGTGCTTTTGATTGCAGAAAACTTGCATGATTCAGTCATTAAATGAGAAATCATCCTTAATAGTAATGCTTAATTGTGTGTTGTTTTATTGCTTGTCTAGGGCTTGGCCACTTCTTTAGCGCTGATACTGTCCAGTGTCATCCATTACTGCTGGTTTGTCAGGTGAGGCATCATCCATATCTGCAAAATCGACATTAGATACTTCACCTAAACAGACCAGTTCTGTTGAGCTTTAAGGGAACGTGCACGAGCTCTCCCAAACGTGGATGTTGCTATCCTATCACCCACCGCACTAGCTTGTTTACTTCGCTGGTCATGGAGGAAGCGCCTCCATTTCCAGTCACCTGGACAAGTTTTTTGGCCTGTCATGCCGTGCTCCTTTTACAAAAGGTGCTTATAAAAGCAAATAGCGTATACAGACCGGGGCAACACGTAAGAGAAATCCTTTATCAGTGAGGCTTTTCTCAAGAGCCTGACAGCTGCCTTTGGATGGCAGACCCACTTGTTCCCTGGATTTTAGCCAGGGAACAGCGTAGGGAAGCTTGTGTAGTCTGTGCTAGCCGGACTTACTCCTGCTAGCTCTGCAGCAGCACGGTAGCGCTTTCACAGCTAGCCTCCTATGCGCTTTACAGTGCCTCTGCGATCCACAGACCATTCCTACTTTTTCCCTTGCTTCTCCAACAGAAAAGAAAGCAAACCCTGAGCTGTGGCTGCCAAGGCTTTGTGGGCAAGTCAAAGCAGGAAGAGGGGACAGGAAGCAGCAGTAAAATAAACATTTCCTTGCATTTTGCTGAAGTGCTGCACCCTGGTTATGTATTGATGCGTATGCCACTCTTCCTCTCATTATAAAGCAGGGCTGAGCGCTGGTGCTTTCTTACCTGATGAGGGCTTGGGGTACATCCTGTGGA